GAAAAAGCCACATGTATATATCTATCTAAAAATCAATACCGCTTCAATATTATTATTATTATTATATACATATGTTATAAAGATCAGCGGTAGAAGTAAGTATTTCGAAAGAGCTTTTTATGATAATTTTATCGTTCGAGTTTATGAAAAGTATTGTGGAAATCGCTTTGGGTTAGTTAAATGTTCCTCTCTTGAGTATGTTTATAGCCGCGATGGGGGCAAAACAAATAACGTATCATAGACCTAATGGCAAAAATAATATTTGGGTTGCCACCACTCTAGTACTCACATGTGTACAGCTATGCATGTATACGTGTGTCTAAAACGTATGTGTGTACAACTGTATTACTGATGCACTACGCTTTTGAGTGAGAGTTGAGCAAGTGTTAAAATTTGCTATTTTGTATATACTAGTTATGCACGTGAGTGTTTATAAAGGTGAGAGAGACCAAAATGCAAAGTTATAGCGAGCTTTGAGTGGGGTTTCTATATGGTGAGTGAGTTTATGTGATTTATTTGAGTATTTCCATGCATATAGGTAAATATATTTATACCGAAATTTCTTTTAGCACCGTTTATCTTTGTAAATATGTACATCTTTATTTAATTATTTACTTACGAAATGGCGCGAAAATTTATAACATGAACATAACACGAATATATGTACAGTTGTCCACAAAATAATAGGAGTGCGATATTTTGACCAGTTTTGGCAATTTGTCTTTTGTTTATTTAATGTTTATTATTTTTTTATAAAAGCCTAGCAGGCTATACAACAAACACCATATAAATTCAGATTTTAAACTTTGTATAAAAATTGTAAAAATTTTGCAGTTTTTCACCCAAATTTCAAACTATTTAATCAGAATCTTTGGAAAAAATTCTGGTATGCAGTTTTGTAGCACATTCAATTCTAGTCTGAAGAAGTGCAAGTTTCAAGCGGCTAAAAATTCCGTTGATTTTTGAGAATTTTTTTGGTTAAAGGTGTTTCACGTTTTTTCCATACAAAGTATGTCGACAATTTTCTTTTATATGGAGGACACTGCCAGAAAAAAAATTGCCAAAAATCAACGGAATTTTTCAGCCGCTTGAAACTTGCACTTCTTCAGACTAGAATTGAATGTGCTACAAAACTGCATACCAGAATTTTTTCTAAAGATTCTGATTAAAAAGTTTGAAATTTGGGTGAAAAATTGCAAAATTTTTATAATTTTTATACAAAGTTTAAAATCTGAATTTATATGGTGTTTGTTGTATAGCCAGCTAGGCTTTTATAAAAAAATAATAAACATTAAATAAACAAAAGACAAATAGCCAAAACTGGTCAAAATATCGCACTCCTATTATTTTGTGGACAACTGTATGTGAATACATTTATTAATTTTTAACCATGGCCGCATTTATGTGCATACATATTGCGAAAACTGAAAATTCATAAGGTATACCATATACCAACTGTATTTGTAAGGGTTTGCCAAATATATATAAACATACATAAATATGGTGAGATATTTTTACGCAAATTTCGTTTTGGTACGAAATCGATCACTTGCTATAACTTTATTAATTTTTGGAGGAGATATGAGGTCACTTAGTGCGCCATCCTTATTTTGTTGTGTCTTATCGCGCCTCCAGATTTCCACCAGACTGTAGCACTTTTTCTCCTTGCTGCTCCTTCGGATTCCGCAATTCCTGTTTTGCCTTTTTTTGATGTGATGTTGTCACTGTGCCTGTGAACTTTACGCTTTTCTTCTGCTTTCCACCTACTTTGACGCTACAGAGCTCCAGTTTTATTTATAAATAAAATTTTTGTTTTACAATTTTCGTTGAATTTTACAGAGTTTATATTTTTTTCACGAACGTCACCGAGTTTAAGCGCGATAGGGATTAGATATACGTATTAAAATTTATACTTTCTGCATCAGCTAATAGTGCACAGCTGATTCAATAGCTAACTCAATGGCTTGAAGGACCATCGACGAGATTTAAGCGGAGTTGCTTAAACCTCGTAGGGGGGTTGTGTGAAGAGATTTTAACGGGTGATTTTTTTGAGGTTAGGATTTTCATGCATTAGTATTTGACAGATCACGTGGGATTTCAGACATGGTGTCAAAGAGAAAGATGCTCAGTATGCTTTGACATTTCATCATGAATAGACTTACTAACGAGCAACGCTTGCAAATCATTGAATTTTATTACCAAAATCAGTGTTCGGTTCGAAATGTGTTTCGCGCGTCCGATTTATGGTCTACATAATCGACCAAGTGAGCAAACAATTAATGCGATTGTGACCAAGTTTCGCACTCAGTTTACTTTATTGGACATTAAACCAACCACACGAATGCGTACAGTGCGTACAGAAGAGAATATTGCGTCTGTTTCTGAGAGTGTTGCTGAAGACCGTGAAATGTCGATTCGTCGCCGTTCGCAGCAATTGGGTTTGCGAAACACATTTCGAACCGAACACTGATTTTGGTAATAAAATTCAATGATTTGCAAGCGTTGCTCGTTAGTAAGTCTATTCATGATGAAATGTCAAAGCATACTGAGCATCTTTCTCTTTGACACCATGTCTGAAATCCCACGTGATCTGTCAAATACTAATGCATGAAAATCCTAACCTCAAAAAAATCACCCGTTATAAATAAGCAACCAGACCCCTTTGTCGGCAATTCAATAGCGTTTAATTAAACATTCAAAATTTACAATTCGAGTTTAACTAGTGTAAGTATTATATACAGCAATGTAAAACTTCAAAAGTACAAGAGTAAAAATGTCGTACTGTTGGCGGTCGCGAAACT